ATAGAAATTTGTCATGTTTAAAGGGCATAGGAAACGATTTTGAATATTCAATTTGTGGTGTTTCTCTATAACTATAAATGATTCAAGTTCCAAATCTGGAGGAAATTCAAAATTGCATCAGCATGTTAACAATAAGAATTTAATCTGGATTTTTTAGCATGTCCATCGGAATACATCTCTTGATTGTGACGTCAGCTCGGGACAAAGGTGTGAGTGACGTCTGAATGCTTAATGTAGAAATAACCATATACATCTTTAACAGTTCTAAACAAGAATCCATAAAATTTACAACAAATTATGCCTTCCATCGTTAAAATTGGAATTGAATTAGCTATTTAATGATGTATTCAAAAATTTTTAACAGCAAGCCTTTCTGAGAAACGTTAGTTTGAAGGCGGGTTTTTTCTAAAAAATCACACATATCAGAGCAAAATCATTTCACTGAGCTTCTAAATCTATGTTCATTTCGCTAAATTTTCCTTTTTAGTTTTTTCATTTTCGTTGAGGTCATTCTTGACGAAATTTACTTTAACCCTTTGAACCCTGACGTTATATAACGTCATTATAGTCTATTCCCTGAGCTCCACGTCATAATAACGTCATATTGATCAAAGCAAGATAAATCATAGAAAAAAGCATGAAACAATAAATAACGACAATACCCTAAAATATTGACTGCATATACCTTCTTAAGTGGTTAAAGCAATAGAATCAAAAGTATGTTTTGATTCATTCACACCTCACGCTGTCCAGTTGTATCTATAAAGGGAGGTAACTACAAATATCAGAATTTTTAAAGGGAGGGAAGTGCAAATAACGAGAGAAATAAGGGAGAGAACTGCAAATAAGGGATTAATTCAGGGATGGATATATAGGGTTCAATATATCCAATCCTTTCAACCGACAATCCATCTGATCCCTTATGTTTCGTTAGTCAGATGTTTAACGTTTGAGAGGGGTTTTATTGTTCCGTCAAAAATAATCACAAATATTGAACGCGCTCGTTCTTTACAGTAATAACTTAAGTCATTTATTCAAAACAATTCATTGCGATTTAATTTTGACAATCATTGATTAATACCAGTATTGTTTCTTCATGTGATATGCGCTAAAACAATTTGAGTCACAACTTCCTACGCAGAGGAAGACACCACACGTGGAACATTTATAAACAGTTTTGCGAACTTTGGGTAGATCGCCATAATGTGCTTCTGGATTACGTCTCTTTGCTCTTCGATTTTTCTCAAGACAAACAACACATCGGTTGTTTGTTGACGCATTTGCTGCATGCTCAACCAAATGCAGGGGCCTATCAGGTGTGTTCATGAGGCGGGTTTCGTCGTCAGTGTTTCCGCGAATAGAGCGAAGTGGAGTTTCTCGTCTAACATCAGCAATAAGTTGATTGCACAGCTTCTCAATGAAATTGTGGAATGTGACCTTCCTATTTGGGAGCTCTTTTGGCATAACAGACTGAAATATGACATAGGAATTAAATGTTGCCCACATGAAAAATTTAATAGTTAGTCGACGTGGCCACCTATAATGAAGACGGCAACGCTGAAACCTCGTCATCTGGTCATTACGATCCGTCCCTCCCATGAATTGATTGTATGTTTTT